CGTACGTACACGACCGCGAACGACCGTCCGTCCCCCCTCCCCACACACACACACACACACACACACACACACACACACACACACACACGTGATTTGAGAGGAGCCGAGAAAGCCGTCCCTCCCCCGCCTTCACACACACACACACACACACACACACACACACACACACCCTCTACTGCACCCCAAAACATTTTCCCTGCTGGCTTAACATTTCACCAGACCACCTTCACCCCTTAAGGTTAGCCCCAAATTAAAATGCAAATTAATGTCCGCGGAAGGGTAACACGTGAACAATTTTCTGAGCTTGCTTTGTAACACATCAAGCGCTGGTGTGCAGGTTCCTGATGGAATGTAGCTCAGGGCAGAAGGCGAGGAGACCCAACCCCGGGGATGGGCAGGAGGCTGTGGAGAAGAAGGCGGGGTGTGGGGGTGGGACACGGGACAGAGCAAAGACGTCATTTTTCTGAACCGTGTGGCTGCGCCCTTGGGACAGTGTTTGTGCTCGTGTGAGTGTAGAACTCAGTGCGGGACCGTAGACCCCTCCCCTCTCTCCCTGGGCAGTGACCACTCTGACAGGCAGTCACTGTCCCACTCGAAACCCACTGGTAGCTTGTGTTCAAGGGGAGGGAGCCTGGGCCACCCCCAGGTTCAGCCCGAGGCTCCAGAACACGTGGAAGCTCTCAGTTCTCTCTGGCCTGCTCAGCGGTCCACTGTCCCCACCGAGACCCTCCCAAACCTTTCTGCTCTCTTCAGCCTCAGCCTAACCCACCTGTGAGGGCTGCAGACCTTAGCTCTCACTTTACCTGGGAAAACTGAAGCCCCCTATTGCCATCAGCCCCCTCTAATATCCCCTGGATTGCAGTTCCCACCTTCCCCTTTCCTCTCTTTTCAGGGAAGCTGGTGCTTTCCTCCCAAAGGCAGTCCTTCACTTGGGCCTGGATGCCATCGCTCTCCCCTGCTGGGACCTTGCTCCCTCAAGTGCTCCCCATGTCCTGCAGCCACAGTTTCTCTCTCCTCTTCCCTCTGCACTGCCTGCAAACGTGTTCAAGTCTCCACTTTCCTGAAAAACCTTCAGCCCAGCTCACCTCCTCCAGAGTTACTCTCCTAACCAACCTCCTGCCCTATCTCACACTTCTTAGATGTTCACCTTCCCCTGCCTGTGTGACCTGGCCAGCCCTCCCAGCCCCCCATCCCTGACAAGGAGCCCTCACTCTTGCTCTGCAAATGTTCTCAGAGGCCACCAGGCCTTGACATCCAAACTGGCCAGCTGTCACTCCTTTCCACATGTCTCGCCTTCTCTGGGCGATGGACTCTTGGCTTCGGGATGTTCTTTCTCAGCCGCTCCCTCCTCCCCCCTCCATCCTTTCTCTCAATATTTATCGCACACTAACTTTGTAGTAGGCCCTTTGCTGAAAATACAGAGTCACTAGATACACTCTCAGCCCCTCAAGGAATTGGCCATCTAGTCTTCCTCATCCCCACCCCCTGTCATGCCATCTCCAGCTCTTTTTTTCTTCCAGTGCCCTATGTGTTTCCCAGGAGCTGTTTTTGACCTTTCTCCGCTAGCAACCTCATGTGCAGACTACCTACCACTCTAGCTCAGCTGGCTCACAGATCTATTTCTGACCTGCCCTCTGTTCATCTACTGCTCCCACCTCACCCTCAACCTGGCAAAAAGTGAACTCTTTGCTTCCCCTTCTCCTGTCATTGCAACCTGCTCCTCCCCTGCAGAGTCTCCACATCAAGTCCTGGTTTGCACATTCTGCCTCCAGGATTTCTCCCACTTGACATCCTTTCCATCTTCAGCCCGGTGCCCAAGTCTAGACCCTCACAAATCTGTCCCATCCATCTCTAAGGCTGCAGCCAATTCCATTTTCCCAAAGCACTGCTTGGATCCATCAGTTGTTTGTTTTAAAAACTTTCTAAGTGTTCCATAGCCCTAGTTGCCCACCAGTTACAATCAGAATCCCCTAATCTGAATTCAAGGTCTCTCCAGTCTGGTCCCCAACTTCCTGCCCCAAACCTATCTCAGCCCGCTGAGCCCCAAGATGCAGCCATATTTGCTGTCCACAGACTGACCCAATGCTTCCCCCAGTCTCCACTTTCACTCATGCTGATGTCCCTTTCAAGGATCGCTTTTTGAGTTTGTTCATGCTCTCAAACTGGGCATCTTTCAAGGCCTACCTCAAACATCTCCTCCTGTAAGAGACCTTTTTTTATTTTCCCCTCTTGACACCCCAGCAGGAGTGATCCCTCTTTCCCATGACCTCTCACAGCTCCTTATACTATCTTATCTGGCACATGTGATTTTCCTCTTTGCATGGGCGTTATCTACATACATGGCCTCATTTCTGGAGGGGCAGCTTAGCTTCTCTGACTCTTTCTGTTCTCCGTAAGACTTAACCACAGCGTGTTGCTCTGTGGTCATTGCAGAATAAGTGCTCAGAAAGTATTTGGTGAATGGATGGGTAAAACAATACATGACTGGGTGGGTGGATGTATTATGAGTGGGTGGATGGATGGGTGGGTAGGTGGGAGGGTAGATGGGTGAGTGGGTGAATGAATGGATGGATGGATATGTGCCTCTAGGGCTAAGCCAAGTACATAGCTAGTTTGACAATGTGTGTTACCAAAGTAAAGACGAAAGAGGATGAAACAGAGCTAACAACTCTTTGAGTATGTTTATTGTGGTCCTCGGACACCTAGTTAAAAGCGTTACAAAAATGAATGTTAAGAAAAGAAGAGAAGGATTGAAGCTCTGGAATGGAGCCTTTCCATGGGCACCAAATACCTCGTGTGACTCTGATGGCCAGAGTCTCATCTTGGAGAAGCCTTGGCTCTAGAATTCCAAAAAGACTTGAGAAATGTGGCAAATGCTAGTCTATGTCCACAGTGAAACTGACACGGTAGTAGGTAGGTACTGTGAACCATGCTAGTGCTGAAGACCCAGTCATTTTCACCTCCACGACTCTGGACAAGTTTTTAACCTCTGGGCCTCAGTTTTCTCATCTGTAAAATGGGTCTACCTTATAAAGCTGTTGAGGGGGTGTGTGACGATAAAACAAAGCAATCCTCATAAAGTGCTTACCAAAGTGCCCAGCATGAGCATTCAAAAAATGATAGCTATTATTATTGCCCTCCAGAAGTTAGCAGTCATAATGAAAAAACATGTCAGGCAACATATAATGAAGGGCTGAGTTGCAGGGTTCCCTTTTTAAGTCCCACTGGAATTCAGAGAAGAGTTTATCAGTGAGGACTGGAATAATAGGAGAGACCCCCAGAGCAGGGAGGTTTAGGATGGCCCTTAAAGGATGGGTGGGATCTGGGAGATGAGCATAGTACAAGGGCATGCGCAAAAGCGGGAGAGCGGGCGTGAGGGCTGCTTGGAGGGGCTAGTAGGCGGTTTGGTGGTGGAGAAACAGTGAGCAGAAAACTGGCGGGATACAAAGTAACAGGTAATGAGATTGGAAGCACCAGTGACCTCGGTCTTTCATGACCCTCTCTGGCAATGAATGGCTACTAGTTCATCAGTCCTTGGGGAGATCAAAATAATAATATTTAACACTCTACATACACTTTATAATGTTTTAAACACTTCACATGTTGTAACTTCCCTAATAATCAGAGCAACCCTATGACACAGATACTATGACTATCTTCCATTTTACAGATGAGACATGTGGGGCACAGAGAGGGTAAGTAACTTGCCCGTGGTCACACAGCTTCTGAGCAGCAGAGTGTGTGTTCTCCCCCAGGCACTCCAGTCCAGAGTCCATGCTCTTAACCACTACATTATTGCTGCCTCTTCCTTGTATCTTCTGTAGCCATCAGCTCTCTTCACTCTATGGCTTATTGCCAGCAGATGGAAAGACTGTCCCCCTGCCACTATCACACTGGAAACTCAGCCAGGCATTTATTGATTGAATGGTTATTGTGTGTCCAGTCCTGGGGTGTGTAGGGGAGGATGGGAGGATTGCTAAAGGAGTTACTGAGGAAGGAGACCTGGGCTGTGGCCCCAGGGAACTCATAATCTACTGCAGCAGACAGGACCCAACTCCCTATAGGAACAAGGAGGGAGCAGGTGCCAGCGGGGAGGCCTTCCTGCTGGACCAGGGGGCGCTGACTTGCAGCAAAGTAGCACTCCTTGCACAAAGTAGAGGGTAGCCTCCGCCTGGCATTCTGAGAAGACAGTGAGGAGCTGGGATGTGGCCTCAGCCCCAAAGGTGCTTTACTGAATGCCTGCAAGTGAGATTGCTGTGCAGTTACAGGCACGAGGGGATGTGTCTCCCTCCAGCCGCCCCTCCCTTCTCCGCTGGGGTTGGAACCCACCCAGGGCAGAGCAGCAGCCCCCAGACCTGACGGCTTCCCACCAAGACGGCTTCTCTCGGTCTTCTCCTCCCCGTGTGGCCACCTGGTGTTATTACTACCTCCGTGAGACTTCCTGCGCTATGAGAGAGGGGTGGCGCCGTAGACGGCAGATGGAGGGAAGGGAGCGAGGGCACCAGCACAGAGCCAGGGAGAAGCCATGGCAGAGGCCGAGGGGAGTGAGAACCTGGGCCTGAAACTGACCCGCAGCCCCAGCAGGGCAGGTGTGACGAAGCAGGGATGTGGAGGCTGCCCGGGAACGGCTGACCCCTGCCGTCATTTCCTTTCCAGCCAGAGAACAATGGCTCAAAAACAAGTGCAGCTATTCCACTTTCCCATCCCGTGGGCCTGCACGCGAGCTCGCTTTCCCCGGGGCTGAGTCAATGGAAAGCTTGATCCCCGCTCCCCGGAGCCACGAGGGGCCAGAGGGGGCTGCCCTCACCCCCACCCTCTGAGATCGCGGGGCCTGACAGACCCGGCTGGCACGTTCTCCCTCCCCTTCCAGGCTCTGCGCTCGGCCAGCAGCCTGGAGAGTCACCGAGGGATGAGGACGCTACAGGCCGGGGGAGCTCCCTTTCTGTTCTCGCGGCCCCGAGCGCACAGCGCCCAGGAGCCCGGCAGAGCCTGACGCCCTGTCGTCTCCCCTCGCGCACAGGGCTCCGCGAGTGATCCGACCGGCCAGCTCCCTGCTGCATGGAACGGCTGCAGAAGGTGCGCAAGGCTGCACCCACCCTGGGCAGTAGGGTGCCGGGGGTGGGGCACGCGGTGGGGGGCCAGGCTCCCCCCGAGGGTCACGTCGGGAGTCGAGGGTGCCACCTGGTGGTTGCCCGCGGCGCCGCACCCCGGGGCCCCAGAGGCCTAGGGAAGTCCTCCCCTGTCCCCGCCCCCTCCCTCTGGCCCGGCCCTGGCACACACGCACATTCCCACCCGCCCGCCTTCTCGCTCTCCCCAGCAACCACTCACCTCCCCTGGGAGCGTCAGCTCCTCCCGAGGCTCCAGTGTTCCAGGCTCTCCCTCCAGCATCGCGGTGAGTACCTCTCGGCCACCAGCACCCTCAGGCTGGGAGGAGGAAAGGGGAGGGGACGCATTCACCGCTGAACAGCTTCACTCGGATCCTCCCTGATGACAGTCCTGCCAGGGCTGGCAGGCAGAGAGAACCCCAGATCCAGAGAAGGTTCTGCACACCTGCTTCTGCTGGTCCTGTCCTGCCTCGTATCCAAAGTGCTAGGTGAAGGACTGTCGTCTTAAGGTGACTCTAAACCCTTAAAATGAAAGTAATAGAAGTATTAACTTATAAGAGCTGACATCTAAAACGAATGCCCATTATCTTCCTAAGAAATTTCAAGTCTGGCTTGTAAGGCCCATATTGTAGGTGAGGCTTTTGGTACCCCGGTTCCATTCATACCCTTTCCCTACAGGCCAAGATGGACAACCAGGTGCTGGCCTACAAAGACTTGGCTGCCATCCCCAAGGACAAGGCCATCCTGGACATCGAGAGGCCTGACCTCATGATCTACGAGCCCCACTTTACCTATTCTCTCTTGGAACACGTGGAGCTGCCCAGAAGCCGGGAGGTAAGGGTGGGAGGGTCCTCTTGGACGGGTCGTGGGGGAAGGACTCCCCCAGCTGTCCCTGGGTGGGATGCAGAATCCCTCTCATGCTTTCCTTCCTGGAAGCCAGACTCCAAAACAAAAAAAGAAACTATGCACAGAAATCAATTAGTCAGCTGATGAACTGGGTATTCGTGGAGAGCTGGCTGGAGGCCCGAGGCTAGCTCCAGGTAGAGCGCATGGGAGGCCATGTCTGAACGGCAGCAGGAGAGGTGGGTCATGTAGGAAAGAGATGGGAGTGGGGCAGATAGGAAATTTGTGGAAAGCCCTCAGGAGCACTGAACTCGGAGGCCAGAAGTCCTAGCTGAGTGTGACCTGCGTGGCAGTGTGGTCTCAGTTTCCCCTCCTGTAAAATGGAAGTGGTACCTCTACCCATCTGCCTCACCAGGTAGTCAAGTGCACGAGATAACATAGGCCAGGTACTCTGTAATAAACCATTCTGGAGGAAGGGGTAGTGTCGTGGCTGAGCGTGAGATGGGGCTAGGCCATGGGGAGACTTCAGAGCCCAGTGAGGGGCCCGACTCCATCCTGGATGTTGTGGGTCTTGTGCCTTCCCCTCGCTGCCCGGCTCTGAGGTCAGGGCGATGGCCACCTTCAGCTGGACTAAGGAGCACGTGCACTCTGCTCCCAGATCTGTGGCTTCTTCGGCTTCTTCCTGCGTCCAAGGGAAAGGCTTAGGACCCTGCCCGGTAGAGAGAGGATGAGGCGCCAGCCCTGGGAGCTGACAAGGACTGAGAGAGATCAGGTGGCCTAGAAACTGGCTGGGCAGTGCAGAGTCGGGTGGAGGGTGAAGTGACACATCTGGGGTCCTAGGGACGAGGGCTTAATCCTACCCCTGTGGCTCTGACCAGCCTCCTCTCCATTCACAGCGCTCGCTGTCACCCAAATCCACATCTCCCCCTCCATCCCCAGAGGTGAGTCTCCCTGCACCTGACATTTGCCCAGCCCTGCCTTGACAGGGCACAACCCCCCCCCCACCACCACACAACACGCCCACTGCGCAGAGGGTGATGGAATCAGTGGGCCTCATCCTGACACTGGCTAGCTCTGGTCCATCTGTGTCTGACCCAGATTCTCATATAATCCTTTCTCCTGGGTCAGGCATCACCAGCAGGTCGAGTCCTTGGATAGCCTTCGTGTGCCCTGGGTTTGGGGGTGTGTGGGCTCTGAGGGTGGGAGGACAGAGGTGGGGGAGGGGGTGAGGTGCAGGACTGGGAGCTGCAGTGAATGGCACTTTTGCTCTACAGGTGTGGGCAGACAGCCGGTCCCCTGGAACCATTTCTCAGGCTTCAGCCCCAAGAACCACTGGGACCCCCCGGACCAGCCTGCCCCATTTCCACCATCCTGGTAGGTTTTACTGCCAGCATGGCCGCATCCTTGCCCTGGGGCCTTTTTTTCCCTTCAGGAACCCAAGCCCCTTACTCTTAGTCCCCCACTCTCTGGGGTATACACTCACAACAGAACAGGCCAGACACCCTGATACCAGGACCCTAAGCAGAGTTCCTAGAAATGGTCAGCCCCGCTACATCTTCCCTCCCACCCAAACAGAAAAGTGCAAAAAATCCCGATCTTTGAAGGACAGTTCCAGGATCTCCGGTTCTGTCTTGGCTCTTGGAAGGAGCCCATCAATTTTCTACCTTCTCCCAATCCATTTGTCTCTGTTCTCTTCACTGACCCAGCCTCCCCACCACAACAAATCTTCCTTCTCATCCACTCTTGCTCCCTCTCCACAGAGACCACCCACCCAGATTCCAACATCTACAAGAAGCCACCCATCTACAGGCAGAGAGGTGAGGGGTCCCCTGACTGACCAGAGCCCCCCTCCCACTGTGCTGAGAGGCTGTGCTGAGGGCGGGGGCGGGGGGAGATGTTCACAACAGGAAAGCCACGTGTGCTTGGCCTTGTGTGTTGCTTTTACGTCCGCGATCTCACACGTGTAAAGGGGGAGAGCTGAGGGAGTTGGGGGCTGGGGCTGGGAGGTGGCCTCCAGGGCGAGGTGTGCCCAGGCTGACCCTGACCTCCCCCACAGAGCCCACGGGCGGCAGCCCTCAGAGCAAGCACCTCATCGAGGACCTCATCATCGAGTCATCCAAGTTCCCAGCCGCCCAGCCTCCCGACCCCAACCAGCCAGCCAAGATCGAGACGGACTACTGGCCATGCCCCCCGTCATTGGCCGTTGTGGGTAGGAGAAGCTGCTGGAGAAGAGAGGGGGAGGCCCAGACACCACCTCATAGGCCCTGTTGAAGCCCGGGGAACCCATCACGCCCCACCCCCACCACCTGCACGAACCCTCCAGCCTCCTGCTCCCCCATCTCCTGCATTCCCATTGCTCTTGGTGTAAGTGGCCCTACTTGTTAGTCCTTCCTTTGCTTTCTGTTCATCATTTCCACCCTTCAACAGACATTGGTCAAACTTCTACTGTGTTCCAGGCTCTGTGATGGGAGCTCTGGAAAGAGAGAGAGAAATAAGACCAGGTCTTGGTCGCCAGTGAATTTAAGTCCTGTGAGCTTGTGTTGCCCACACAGCTTTGCTGCAAGGCGAGAACACGTGGTTTTTATTTTATTGTAATAATTTGTAACGTTCCCTTCAGGGTGCAGCCCCGGGATGTGCACAAAGTAGCCACTGACAGATGCTTGCTGAGCAAGTGGTTGATTGGCTAACGTGCCCGCTTTACCCGTGTTTCCCAGAGACAGAGTGGAGGAAGCGGAAGGCCGAAAGGAGGGGGGCAGAGGAGGAGGAAGAGGAGGAGGAGGATGACTCCGGGGATGAGATGAAGGCTCTCAGGGAGCGCCAGAGAGAGGAGCTCAGTAAGGTAGTGTCTCACTACCCCCACCCACTTCCTGGGGTCACCCTGGGGACAAAAGTTCCATTCTGATCCACATGGGTTCAGGTCTGAAGAGCGTCCTGGTCAGAACACATGACAAATTCCCCTTCTTTGCCAGGATTTCAGGCTGATGCTTCTGAAGGGACACAAGGACTCCATGTTGCTTTGGGGGAATGTCACTTACCATTAGGGCCAAAAGCACAGACAAAGGTGGCCCCGCCGGTGCCAGGCTGCAGCCAGCTGAGTAGTTCATGGGAGGAGGAGAAGGGAGAAGAGGCCTCCCCAGGAGGAGGAAGGGTGCAGGGAGTCATGGACAGGCCACTGATGGTGACATGGGCTTGTGGGACACGGTGACCTGGGATGGGGAGGCCCGGGGGCAGACTTACTCCCAGCAGCTCTGACTCCTGGCTCTTGAGAGTGGCCAGACCCAATGTGCTGGAGCTTCTGACCAGAAGGACAGGCTCCTTGGGCTCCAGGGATGACCCAGCCCCCAGGAGCTCTGTCCCCACTCCTGCCTGTGGCAGACCCAACCCTGAACCTCTTGGAGTTGAGAAATGAGTATCGAAACCTGGGCTCCGTTCTCCCTCCCCAGGTTACTTCCAACTTGGGAAAGATGATCTTGAAAGAAGAGATGGAAAAGTCATTGCCTATCCGGAGGAAAACCCGCTCTCTGCCTGATCGGACACCGTTTCATACCGGTGAGTGCCACCGAGGGGGCTCAGAATTGCCTGGCCAAGCCCTGAGGCCAGAATCGAACAGTCTGCTGCGTCTGTGCGTCATATGCCCAGCACTGGGCTACTGGGGGCATAAAAGGCGTAGGAAATCCACGGCTGGCTCAAGGCGCTCACCCTCTTCTTGGGTAAGAGGACCAGCCATGGAACAGGACTAGGTAACAAAGAGTAGTGCCAGCTAAAGCAGAATCAGCAAACTGTTTAATTTATCCAACATTTATCGGGTGTCTGCCATGTGCGGGGCCCCGGGGATATAAAGAATGAAACACTGCAGTCTTGCCCTCCAGTATCTTCTGGTCACAGGGAAACTGACATGGGAACTGGGGTTTCAGTGCAGCATGGATGCTGTGAGAGGGGAGACACACTTTGAGTGCTTTGAGAAGATGGTGATGGAGCCTGGGGTTCAAGGGCTGCGGGGTGCTAAACCAAGTCTTGAAGGACAAGACAAAGTGAGTGAGGGGAAGGGCACCACAGACCCCAGGGGACAGTGTGGGAGCACAGTCCAGGAGCAGCAAACATCCTGGCCGGCAGAGAGGGCCTCCAGGAGCCTGGAACTGCCCAGGACAGAGTGTGCCGTTCGGTGGCCAGGGCTTTGGTACCATGCCACTGATCACCGAGGCTCGCCTGGGCTTCCCTAGAGCATGGCAGCTGGAGAGGAGACAGGGGCAGATCTGAGAACCCAAAACTGGAATCTACGGGGCCTCTAACAGCGTGGCCTCGGAAGACACAGGGCGTCCCTCTACTGCCTCCTACTGGTCAGAGCAGCTCACCAGACCGCCCTGACTCAAGGGAGAGGAAAGATTCTACTTGATGAGAGGAATTGCACAAGGGCACACAGGCTGGGAGATAATGTTGCGGTCCATCTTTGGAGACAGTCTACCACACTTTCCAATAGTCTGGTAAGGGCTAAAAATACACCTAGGTCCAGAGAAGAGGGAATGAGAAATATTCAGACATTGTATAGAAATAGTCCCTGACTTACAATGATTCAACATATGATTATTTGACTTTATGATGGTGCGAAAGCAATGTGCACTCAGTAGAAACTGTGCATCCAGTTTTGAATTTTGACCTTTCCCCGGGCCAGGGATATGCGGTACAGTCATCTCTTGGGATGCTTGCTGGGCCTGGGCAGTGAGCTGCAGCTCCCATCAGCCACACCATCGTGATGGGAATCAACCGATACGCTTACACCATTCTGTACCCAGACTGCCACTCTGTTTTCACTTTCAGTACAGTGTTCAATACGTCACATGAGATATTCAGTGCTTTGTTGTAAAATCGGCTGTGTGTGAGGTGATTCTGCCCAGCTGTAGACTCATGTAGAGTGTTCCAAGCACGTTGAAGATAGGCTGGGCTGAGCTCTGATGCTCAGTGGGTTCGGTGCAGTAAATGCGTTTTTGATTGATGATGGGTTTATCGGGACGTGACCCCATTGTAAGTCGAGGGAGATCTGTGTAGGAGCCAGAATCAAGTGGACTTAGCCGGGTGCTTGGATGTGGGAGGTGAGGGAGAGACAGGTTGGGATTTTTGTCTTGGGTGCTGGGTGATAACAAACCTGGGGCTAAGATCATGAGAAAGGCAGGTTTCGGAGGAAGATGAAGAGACTGATTTGGGACGTGTTGGGTTTAAGTGCATGTGGGTAGGAGCCGAGTTTGACTGAGTCGGAAGCTCGAGGGACGAGTCAGGGCTCAGGCAGAGTCTTCAGCTTCTGTTTGGGGGTGGGACCGTGAGAAGAATTCCGGTTGTGCAGAGAGAGGAGAGGGACGGGCAGGGCGCAGAGGGCTGTACCTTGGCGAACACTCACATCACGAGCCCCTGGAGGACTGGCTGGGAGGAGGCTGGGCAGGAGACCCAGCCTCAGAAAGTGGGAGGCTGGCCTTGAGAGAGCTGGAGACTTGGGTCTGGGAGCAGGCCACATTAGAAGCTGAGACTGTCTGCTGAGCACGCGGAGGGGGAGGCTTGGTGAGAGGGGTGAAGGCTTGGAGGAGCTTCTGCAGGCAAAGGGAACTGGTACAAGGCTGAGGGTCTGTGTGATGCTAACCTCCATGGGGTGGACTTCTCTCCATAGCCTGTGGGCAAGAAGGGAGCCCTGGGTGGATGCTGAGTGCTATGTACCTGACTACAGATTGAAGGTCAGGGGGAAGCGGGGGGATCAAGACGCTGGAGGTCCCCACAAGATTGACCAGCGGGTGTGCTGGGAATGAGGCTGGGGGGAAGCGGCAAACAGAGAAGGGTTCTATGGCCACAAAGGGGTACCCCCAGGTTTCAAGTGTCAAGGTGAAGCAGTTGTGGACAACAGGGTCCAGAGGCTGGCCGTTCAAAGGAGTTGCCTGCTGTGGAGTGGAGGTGAGGGCCACTAGGGTGGGGGACTCAAAGAACCGTAAGGTTCATATGTGGCTGGGACATCCACAGAGCCACCAAAATGATATTTCACCAGGATGGCATTTCAGTGTGGGTGGGAAGAGTTATGACAGGTCTTTTTAGAGAATATGGAGTATGCAGTGAAGGCCTGAAGAATGAGGCAGACAGAGAGATGCCCGAAAGGCTGGAGTCCGTCTGTGTTCTACTAGGATCTGCTCATCAGGCAGAACTGGCTCTTTAACTTCCATTTGGCCTTGCAAAGTTGCATAGCGATATGTCTGCGTCGCCATCACCATTAGCATCCCTGAACTTGTATGGGATCGATGACTGCATGGTCGCCTAGGTTACGGTCATAGCTGATCAACCTGAACCTGATCAATTATGAACAGGCATATCATTTTGACTTAACATTGAAATAAATGGTCACTTTCAAACATAAGTAATCGTTTTAGAAGTAATTAGGAGTGAAAAGTCTCCTTATATGCTGTATAGGTTGAAATTCTATCAGAAATGTGTACTTATCACACGGGTGGGGAGGGTGTGGCTCAGTGGTAGTGTTTGCACAGCATGCACGAGGTCCTGGGTAAATAAACCTAATTTTTATTTAAGTAAACAAACCTAATTACCTCCCTCCCACCCCAAAAGAAAACCAAGAAAAAAAGTGTTAACAAAAGATTTGAAAAGATTTTTTGAAAAGAAGAAATACATACTTACTACAAAAGTGAAGTGTTTCCATCATGAATGACGGTATAAAAGCAGACAGTTTCCCACACAAAAATAAGAAGCACTAAGGGAGAAAAAGAGGTGTCCCAAACACATTTTGTTCTCAGCAAACTTCCAAATAACATACTTTATGAGAATGTTTGGGAGTAGGGAGGGTATAGCTCGGTGGTGGAGCATGCCAGGTCCTGAGTTCAATCCCCAGTACCTCCATCAAAAAAAAAAAAATAGAATGCTTGAAGAAAACAGTTTTTCCTTATTGAGTCTGTCCAGGCTAACCCTTTAAACAAAAATGCTGCTATTGAATGCCAGCAATTTATAATAACTGGAGATGAAGGAATTTTGACATCAGCCCAAACTAAGACTCTTTCTAGGAAAGCCTCTTACTGAAAGCCAGTTTTCTTGAACTATAATCTACAGTGCTTGAAAGCTTAGAGATATTATTAAATGTCAAATGGAAAGTGACATTTGGTCATGAGAGGGTGAAGTCCGGTGACTGCTGGTGCCATCCAGCTGCTGACAGTGCGGGGAAAGCTGTTGCTTCTGTTTTAAAATGTCCAGCATTTGAAATTTGATGATTAACACTGCTCAAAATAAAATTGTAATAATCCAATTTTGACTAAATTATAGATTTATTTTTGTATTCCAGAGGTTCATTTTATGATGGTGAGCCTCATTGCCTATCATTAGCTGACTATCAATGTGAATACTCAGGCGTTTGGCCCAAATGTCTGTTTTGGGCACTTTTGTTTAGGGAGAGGGAAGGCAGTAGAGACAGGCAGTTCAGAGCCGCCAGCACAATGTCACCTGCTGACGGTAACGTGCAGGAGCTGGAAGGGCCCACTGGGTTCCCCCAAGTCCTCCCTTCACTGTCCTGGCCCAGGCAGGGCAGCCCAGGGAATGACTCTCAGGAGTAACTGTCAGATCAAAGGGACTGAACCCGGGCCTCCTGCTCTCTTCCAGCCTTGCAGGCAGGAACGTCTAAGTCGTCTTCCCTCCCAGCCTACGGCAGGACCACCCTGAGCCGGGTAAGGTCCCGGAACAGAGACCGTAGACGGTGCGGAGAGAGTGTGCATGTGGGGGCCTGTGAGGGACTGCGCCACCTGGGCACCCGGGGGGCGCGGGCAGATTCTTACGGGTAAATGGGGGTGATGTGGAATGTGCCAGCTTCCTCTGATCCCTTTGTGTCCTCTCCAGCTACAGTCCACGGACTTCAGCCCGTCTGGGAGTGAGGCAGAAAGCCCAGGTGAGAGGCAGGGCTGACCTGATGCTGGGAGGGGGGCTCAGGCAGGCTTCTGGGTCAGCCCACGTGCGATGTGTGCAGGGCTCTGTGGGTGCAGGTCAGGGAGGCTGAGCTGGCAGTCTGGAGGCCTGCTGACCTCAGAGCTGCCTCTGAACAATGACTCTTCTCTCCCGCAGGCCTGCAGGTGAGTGCCTTCTGGAGGGGAACACACATGGAGCGCCAGAGCCACGGACAGAAGGGAGACTGGCAGTGTTGGGGGAGGGTGGATGGGGCCTCAGAGTTGCCTGGTGAGGATGGCAGAAGCCCAGGGTAAGGCTGGGGAGGTCTCGCTGCCCCACTCTGGCTCACTGCGGCTTTGGTCTCCCCAGAACGGAGAGGGCCAGAGTGGGAGGATGGACCGGGGGAACTCCCTGCCCTGTGTGCTGGAGCAGAAGGTGAGGGGCAGGGGCAGAGGCAGGGGGATGGGGTGGGCAGGGCATAGAACCATCTCTCCTGGGGGCGGGCCAGCTCGGGGAGAAGCCAGGGAAGTGAATGCACTCAGGGGTCCACCTGGTTGATGATGGGAGGGGCAGCAGGGAAGTTGGGGGAGTTGGACGGCAAGATGGCATGAGTCCATGGCCCCCGCGGGCTGATAAGGGGGCCGGGGAATTGAGGGGGTTACATTCACAAGGACCTCTATGAGCCTAATGCTGGCCCCTCCCCTCCCACCCCAGATCTATCCTTACGAAATGCTGGTGGTGACCAACAGGGGGCGGACCAAGTTGCCTCCAGGTGTGGATCGGATGAGGCTTGAGGTGAGCAGAGGGAATGTGCTGGGTAGGGAGGGGCTGCCCCATCGGTGGGGAGGGCCGCCCCTTCGTCCCTCGGCCCCGCCCCGAGCTGTGCCTCGTCTCCGAGCTGGGTCTCTGCGTGCCCCTTACAGAGGCACCTGTCGGCTGAGGACTTCTCGAGGGTATTTTCCATGTCTCCCGAAGAGTTTGGCAAGCTGGCTCTGTGGAAGCGAAACGAGCTCAAGAAAAAGGCCTCCCTCTTCTGACAGCCCCCACCTGCTCCATGACTGACCCTCGGCTCTCTTGCTTCTGAGCTCTGGAGCTGGGGTCACTGGATCCCAAAGCATCATCTCTGGGGGAGCATGGAAGTGGGGCAGAGGTGGGGTTGGCTCCACTGCCCAGGTCAAGGGGAAGCAGGACCTGTGCAGTGTTGGGGTTGTGGGACATGGACTTCCTTCCCCATTATAAGCCAGCAGGGGGCTCTCACCTCTCTCATCCCTGGTCCTCACTGCACTGGGCAAACCCAGTCTGGACTCCAGCACACACAGAGTTAATGTTTGCACCTTCTCCCTGTCCCCTACCCCCCACAGGAAGGTCCCCAAAAGAGAGTGATGAGAAAGGAACATGGCACTTGGTAGTCAGGCCTGGCTGCTGTCCTGACCAATGGGTGGGGAGAACCCTTGGACCTAGGAGGAGGCGGGTGAGGGTGGGAAGCAGCTAGGCAGGCAGAGAGAGCCCCAGGACCCTGTGTGCATCCAAGCATTCCTCCGCAGCTCACCTTGGACAGGTTGCCCTGCACCTGAGCCTCCTGCCTCTCTGACTCCAGCAGGAGCAGCGCTCAGCCTCCACCAGGGAGGCCACCTGGCCCTCCAGCTCGCCCTGTCTGCTCTTTGCGACCCCCAAGCTTCAAAGCTCTTGCTCCAGCCCTGTGGCTTCCCCAGAAGCCTTGGCTTAGAGTGGAGATGTTGCCTATACAGACCCCCAGGCCACCATCAGCCTCCAGGCAAAGTCAGGTAGAATGCTACCTTCTAGCACCCAGGTCTGGGGCAGAACCCAAGCCGTCGGGCTCTCTTGAATGGGACCAAGAGGCCAGGCTGAGAGTCCTGGCTACCAGGTCCCACCCCCGCCCCCCACCGTGCATCCCCCACCATGCTCTCTAAAGAATGTAATTTATTGGGGCACCCCCAGCTGCTTTCCTCACCTAACTCTACACCCCACCTTAATCACGCTCCCAGCTTTTCTTCTCTCCAAATACATATGTGTATATAATTATATATATATTTTTTGCCCGGGTCTGGGTTTTGTTCCTGCCCAGACCCCGCCATCCCTTTCCACTGTGTGTGTGTGTGATCATGCTTGGGGAGGGGGACTCTGCTTGGAATTAAAAGGTTGCATTGGGGCCCCAAATCTATTTGTTCTTTATGAGCCACCAGATCCGCAGAGTTAGAGGATGGAAAGAGATGGCCCACATTTTACCCTCCCTCGACCCTGGGACAGAAAAGCTGGTGGGGGGGGGTCCTCTAGCAGGTCCTGTGTGCCTCCTCCAGCTCCTTCAGGGGCTGTGTGATGGCGGCATGGACGAGGGGCCAGAGACTCCGACTCCGGAGCCTGATAAAGAGCCAGCTAGGAGGAAAAGGCTCTGTCCTCCCCTGAGGCCCTAAAGGCTTCCCGTTGGCAGTCAGGGTCATCAACAGCGGACATGATTGTAGCCTTCTGGGCTTGTGACACTCACGGTTCAATGGAGAAGCCACTCAGGAAAGGTCAACAGTGTACGCGTGGGCGGTGAGCTGACTGTCCAGGATCAGGCAGGGAAAACTAAGGGCTGGAGACATGATGGACGAACTCTAGCAGGAGCGAGGGTCAAGTGGGGGCTGAGGGAGTGGAGTAAGGTGGTCTCGGCTGACTCGGCAGGACCTCCCAGGGGGAGTACGCATGGTGCTGATGTGGGTGGAGGGGGTGACAACTGGATGGGAAGATCAGAAGGACTTTAGATGTGGGTGCTGGTGGGAGCAGGGCCCGCTCACCTGGCCTGAACAGAACCAGGTTTGGGCGCGTGAAGAGGTACGTCAGCGGGGGCGCTGCATGTGAACCCAAGCCTGGAGCTGCCACCTGAAGTCAAGTCTGCTGCCCCGGACGAGTTTCTAGCCCCCCTCACTGAAACAAAAGCAAAGCGGGTAAGAATCGCTCAAATGAGAACGATTATTTTAAACTGTAGGAGTTCCACTACACGCATTGTTTGATCCTCTCAAAAGACCTATGAGGTCAACGGCACAAGTCCGTTTAATCCTTTTCGAGAAGGAGAAAATCGTGGAATAGAGACACGTCATCTGAAGTCTGAGGTTACATGCAACTGACAAGCGCAGACTGGGAACACACAACCCAGTTTCTTGACTGCTAACCTGGGACTTTCCCAGGACAGACAGTTGCCTCTCCAGGGGCAGCAGACAGAGGAATTGTCTCCATACACAGACCCAGGATAGGTGTTTAGCAAAGGTTTGGAGGGCTTACCCCATTCCGGGATGAAGGAAACAGCGCGGACGAGAACTGCACCCCGTGCAGCAACCCCAGGTTGCTGAGCACCAGTGTAAGGCGTCCACTGGGAAGTGTTTGTGGTGGGCGCAGACTGGAAGCCAAGTCCTAAAGGACTTTAAGTTCCTTAGAATTTAGAGTGGATCAAAGTGGAGGTCTGTCCCAGAACAAAATCTTGGTGATTACTTAGTCCAGTGGTTTCCAAACCTTTTTAGTAGCAAATCCTTTTTTTTTAAATTAGAGCTTACTATTAGTAATTAAAATGCCTTTATAAGTTGAATTTTATAGTTATTATGGAATCAATCAATGAGAACAAAGAAGCTATTTGATGAATATAAACATTTTAAGTCGGGGGTTATATATGAGTATATCATAGCTGCCTTTTCACCCAGTGCAGGATCTAATTTACTCTCACATTTAATTGCATAGTATCGGGAAAAGCCTGATTTACACAGATAAGTAGTTACAAAATTGTGGTGGTTTAAAAACACACACAAGTTTGTTCACATTCCTCCCCTTGAGCGGCAGCATCGAAGTCCTATCTCTTTGAATCTGAACTTAGTGACTTGCTCTTTCAAGCTGATCATTCTGCAACAGACTTCTACCCTCATTACGCTGACAGGAGGAGAGGTTTATTCAAACATCTTCTCCCAAACAGCTAACCTGGCAGTGGAGTTTAAATACGTCAGTGGGCTCTAACACATATGTAAGTGTGTCCGCTGACTTTTATTAGAGCTTTTAAAATAAAATTTAAAAAGTTAAACCAAATGAAAGATTACGAATTCCTTATACACTTCCCTGATACCTACAGTTCCTTGAAACATGTTGAGGGGAAAAAAAGTAGATTTAGTCCATCCAGCCTGCTTCCTTTACCCATGAGGAAGGAGACCCAGAAAACAGTGATGGACTAGACTGCTTCCCCATACACAGAACAGATTTGTTTCTTCCTTTCGCTCTTATACTTTATGGCTTAAAAGCCTCCTCTCATTTCCCACAGGCTCTTCACTAGGGTCTGATTGCAGATGAACAGTTCAAAAACATCTATTTTCCTCAAGCAGCTGCCAGAGAACTAAGATCCAAATACTAGCTCAGCCTGGGCTCGGCTGAACCTTGGCCTCCCGGTGGGTCTGGACTGCAGGCTCTGCTCCACGACACATGGGCAACTCTGGGCAGGCGTTGCCTCCTGGGCCACAGTCCCACTGGTGAATGGGGCCCAAAAGGCTGAGCCAAGATCCCACAGCTCCAGGTCCTCAGTTCTGGGACAAGGGCTACCCCATTTCCCTCGTGGGACCCCTAGTGCCTCACCCTCTCATCATATGGTGCCGGAGGTCAGCAGAAACACATTTTGAACAGATGACTGCCCTGTCCTCCGGAAGAATCTCTTTCCACTCCTGGGAGCTGGATGTGGGAGATGGGGAAGGGCTTTGAACTGGCAGAGCTGGCTGCCAGAAAGTCCCCTCCCTAAGGTCCCAGCTTTGGACATTCCCAGAAGCCCTGCTCTGGGTGAGGGTTCTGTCTGTGTAATTCTTGGGTGTCATTTTCCCAGTGTGCCCCCCCCAACACGGGAGACCCACCTTCTGTCTCTTTCCCTGATGCAGCTATAAAAGCAAAGAGTTGTGGCTGCCTCTGCAGGACCTCTGGACCAGAACTGCATCCACTTAGAGTAACAAGCAACAAGTGAAATTTTTATGTTATACTTTCGTCAACTCAACTTATCTAATAGCTTATATTTCAACATGTAAAATATCATTAGTGACTATTTTACATTCTTTCCTTTGTACTGTTTTCGGCACATCTCAGAGTTAGTACTTTTCATGGCCGGACAGCCACAAGTGACCAGTAGCTGCTGTGCTGGGCGGGAGGTGGGGGAAGTCACAACTGGCCCCGGTTTGCCCTTCTAGCCGCACCAAGGAAACAACAGAAGGTGGGTCTCCGGTGTCGGGGGCAGAACCCTCGGCCAGAGCAGGGCTTCTGAGAATGTCCAAAGCTGGGGCCTTAGGGAGGGGGCCTTTGAGCAGCCGGCTCTGCCAGTTCAAAGCCCATTCCCCATCTCCCACCTCCAACCTCCGCCCCCAGGAATAGAAAGAGATTCTTCCCGAGCACAGGGCAGTCGTATTTTCAAAAATGTATTTCTGCTGACCCCTGACATCATATGATGGGAGGGTCCCACGAGAGAAGTATTGAGACTTCCAAAACCCATAAACCCTCATTCCTCATGGGAAAATCCTGCCTGGTCCCACTCGCCCTTCTTTAACGGTCGCTCGCTCGCTCGCTCGCTCGCTGCCACCTGGCTCCCCAAGGGACCCCGTTGGACTTGACCCTGCCCCCGCGCTGCGGACGCCCGGGACTCCGGAGGGCCACCCCTCGCTCCCAGGCCGGG